AATAGCAGCAGTTAAATCGCATCGGCTTTCATTTTTTTCTCATTTACATATTTAACGCGCGGCGCGATAGTTTCGTAACAAAAGAAAACTGATTAAGGTTCATTACGCGGTAATTGCAAGCAGTGCCTGGCGGACGGGTATTATGAGTTTTAATTATGAAAAGAGGGGAATCCAGTAATGTTGGAAAAATCTTTTCTTTTCCATCCTTGCACGCGTCTCTTCTTCTTCTTCTTTTTACCGTCAACGTAAACTGAAATCTTGAAGGTAGGTTCAAGCGGTATAAATCAAAGAAACGGAAATAAATAATAGATCTAATCGAAACACGCAGAGGAGGGCTCAAAGGAAGACATAAAAGAAAAAGAGATGACATAATGTCTGAAAGAATTGTTTTAAAATTCTTATCTCCACAAACACGTCGCAATAAAATGTCGAATAGGACGATCGTGGACGGAGATTCTAAAAAGTAGACCCGATCACGCGATGGCCGCCTTAGCGACGATGTTCTCTCATTTATCAAGAATGGAAGTTGTCTCGCTTCTTGCGTCTATCCGTCACTCGTTAACCGGACGATCGTTACTATCGTAAAAGTCGGCTAGGCGAGGAAGAAAAAGAATGAAAAGGGGAGAAAAAGAAGAGATCGGGTTCGAGGTAGAAGACGTAGTTTTGGAAAAATAATAGCGCCCGGATCGCTCCCCGAGAGTGGCGATCGTCCAAGGTATAATAATTTCGAGGAACCTACTCTCTTTCTCCTACGCCCTTCGCAGGCCTCCTCCGCTCCTCGCCCTGCGTCTGCGTCTGTGTCTGCGCGCTGCTGCTCTCGTCTCCCGAGTATACATCTTTTCTTTGTTACGTTTACGAGCCTCGTCGGATCCGGAGTAAAACCGCGCCGCTCCTCCCGCCTCCTCGTCCCTCCCCGCTGCACGCGGCACGCCGGTGAAATAAATCCGTATATTCCGGGGGGTCTTAAATTCAACCGGAAATAGAATTTGTCCCGGGGCGGTCACGGGTGCCGGCGGTGGTGCGAGGAAAGTCCGACGAAACGCTGGAAACAAGAAGAATCGAACGAAAACGAGAGCCTGCCGAGCCGCCGAAAGGTGAAGAACAAGAAGAGGAGAAAGAAGATGAGCGAGTACCCGCACGTGGCTACGCGAAATTATTTTAATGCCCCTCCCCCCCCCTCTCTCTCTCTCTCTCTCTTTCTCTCTCCCCAAATAGCGAAGAAATGATGGATAAGAAACGAAAATAATTTTTCTTCGCGGGAAATGAGAATGATTTCCGTTGCGTCGATTGGAAATCGAATCGTCATGGAGCGTTAATTATGATTCTTACGAAAGTTTCTATTTATTTTGATCATTTACTTTCCAATCGTTGATAAATTTCCCGCTGCGATGCGGTGTTTTAGTACAAACTAGAAGAGCTGTTACCGAGCGTAGAACTCTAAGATCGGAGCGTAAATTATGCGACAGATTTCCGTTACGTGCGACTGAATATTTTTATCTTCCCGTATACGATGACAATCAAAATGCCATTCATCATGTTTGAAGATACCGACAGACTTTCCTTTCGGATAACGAACTTCTTCGAGGTAAGCCCCGTGAAACAGCGACGACGGGGAGCGTCTTAATCTGGATAAAAACGTCCAAGCTGGCTACATTGGCGAAAGTTTCCCGCGGGGTTGTGTGCAAAGAGTGGTCGGAGGGTTCGCGGCGGATGGGCGGAAGCGCGAGCGCGACGTTACGGGACTCGGGGCGGGGAGGCTTTTCACCTTGAAAGGAGGCAAGTGCACTCGAAGATATTCCCGAAAGCCGAAGAGGGGCATTGTACACAGTATATATGTATCAGAGGCGCTCTCTCAGTTTGTGCCTCTCCTTCTTCCCTCCCCTTTTCCGTAGGTTTGCGACGATCCACAGCGGGCGAGTGTCGCGGCTCGACGCGAGGCTCGTTGGAGGAGACGCGGCATCGCACAGAGGCAGGGCTTAAAATTTTCACGAACCACTCGAGCGTCGGGGAGGTCTCCACCGCCTCCGAAATCTGCAATTTGGCGTAGCTACCTGGGTGGTGGGTACACGGAAAGAGGTCTGGCCCGGAAGAGGACGCGAGGCAAAATGTAGAGAGACAAAGGGAAGGAAAAAGAGAGAGGCCTTTGCTCGTTGAAGGAGGTGGCCAACCACCTACCCGGTGGGCGACGCGCTAACTGGAGGGACGATACCCGTCGTGTTTACGTCTACTTTTCGGAGGAAGGAAAAAGTAACTGGCAACGAGACGCGCGGGGATTGAACAAGGGAAAAAATGGGAAATAGCGGCGTCTCAAAGGTACTCGCCTACGGGCAGCCATCCTCCTTCTCCTCCATCGCCACTTGAATCTCTCTCTCGTGTTCTTGAGAGAGAGAGAGAGACGAGCGGTGCTGTTTTCGGCAATTTCTCTAGCGAGTCTTATTAAAAAAGTGAAAGAGAGGCTGGGGATGAAAAGAAGCACTATGGATTTCTAGCCCGTTCCGAAGAGGAAGTCGTTCTGGAGTTGGAAGGGGCGGAACGAGAAGGACGATGAAGGAGGCCCGAAGAGGTGCGCCGTACGGTAAAAGGAGGACGTCTTAAATTTTTGACGAGACCACTCGTTGAGCAATGGCAACGGCAGAAAACGAGTGATACCAGCAGCGGTTGGTAGCCAAGTTAGGAGGCGCTGTCCGCCAAGCCGAGCCGAGCCGAGCCAAGCTACAGCAGCAACGACGGCGGTGGTGGTGGCGGCGGCGGTGGCGGCGTTTCACTCAAGTCTGCAATTTCGCGGATGCATCTTGGCTGACCTGGCTAGAGTCGGAGAGAAGGGGAAGAAGTGAGAGAAGGTCTTTGCCCGCTTTAGAAGAACTAAAGCGCGCCTACCGCCGCTCTCTTTCTCTTACTATCTCTCTAGTTCTGTCTCTCCTCTGCCACCCCACCCCACCTCTCTCTCTCTCTCTCCCTCCCCCCTTTTCTATCTTTCTTTCATACACTTCTTTGACACAGCACTCGCTCTCTTTCGCCCCTTTATATTTCGACACTCTAGAATTTCGTTCCTACTTCGATCCTCGCGCCCGTGCTTCCTCGCACGCGGCACCCTCTGTCTTTCCTCCTCTGTCTTGTTTCTCTCGTTTCGTCGAAGAATGGCGAGACGCCGGCCAGACCCTAGAGCCTACCGAAGCGAAAGCAAAAGACGCAGTTGGCCGAAAAGGGATGGTCGATGCTTCGCGCCCTCTCTCCCTCTCTCTTTCTTCCTTTCTGTTTCTCTCTCCCTGCCGTGTCGCGTTCCCTACGAGCGTGAGAAAAGGACGGAGATCGAAGACGGAGGAAGCGAGAGGGAGATGGATAAACGCATGGTATTGATCCTGGAACCCCTTGCTCTCCCGTCTCGCCTTATCCCGGCACCCTTCCACTATCGTGATGAACCCCAAAGTTTTGTACGGGGCTTTCGCCCCTTTTCCTATTTCTTTTATCCCCTCGCCGTCCTCGTGCG